GCTTTTGTTGTGAGCAAAGGGACCATTGGCTGTCACGAGTTCCCCACACGAGATTGTTGATCATTGATTTTCTTCTCAATAGGATGAATATGAAAAGCTGAAATCGGCATAGATCAGCTATTGACCCGTCTGACGTATTTCAAATGTTTCATTTCAGGCCTTAACGTTGCACTCCGTTCATCGTTTAATTTCAACATTGTGAGCTGCTGTTGAAATGTTGTGGAATTACAAGTGCCAAGCGTTGGGGGCATTCTTCCTGGATTTTGAGGGGAACTCATTATTGACGGGGGGGGGGGGGGGCTCTACGTTTTCCCCGCCATTTTTTGGGACAGTGCAGACGGAGCCACGGTGTGCTCCTGGAAAGCTGTGTTGTTTTACAATTGTTCCAACGTTTTAATATAAAAACACTGTTTACGAGATCAACCTGAGTGTGATCGCCTTTGACCCAACCCTACTTGTTGGACATCCGTGAAAAAGAGCTTAATAACTCATCGGATTTCTCCAGGATAAATAAAGATTCTGGTTCTGCCCATACAATTTGGCAAGGTGCTGAGTAAGGAAACAGATTCCGAGTGGAAGAAGTTCTATTCAAGATTCTCATGCTGAACGCTGACAGGGTCACACATGGTCGTGTTGCATGATCCGCCACACAAGTTGTGCTACATACGAGGAGAGGAAGAGGAAATGGGGTTTGTTGATGGCAATCGAAAAACTCTGCATGGCCATCGAGATTGTATGCTTGCTCAGTGGCACTGTAAACTTTGAAAGTTTGAATCCTCTTTACTGGGTTTCCGTTTGGTTTGGATGTAAGTCTTGCTGATTCTGTGTCATGGGTAAAACGTGCAGTCTCCCTTAAATGTAAACTGTTTCTTTTCGATTACAGCAATTCCGTGGTGTGTGTGTGGATCTGCCTTTTGAAATAATCTTACGATTGTGAGTGTTGCATAGTAATCTGTACTTTCCTATTAATAGCTGTGTAAAATGGGTATACGTATTGTGGAATGACAAGCACAATATTCATAAAAGGTGCATTTGAATGTACAACATCCCACGGTGAGCAACAGTGTGTACGTGCACGAGTGCACAATACACAAATGTGAAACTACTTTTATGATCTCGAGTTCAGAAGAGCTGTAATAAATACATTTAAGAATAATCAATAGCATGCAACTCTATGGCCAAGGATTAATTTTAAAACATGATTAATTGGTGTTAAGCTGCATTATCTTTGATGCTAAGTTGATATCAAGATAGCTGTAAATGGGTCAACTCAACATATGCTCATCCGACACGAGAGTTGCCAGGTTTAACCAGAGCCCCGTGTTTTGGTTCATTAAGTTTACATGCTAAGATGACTTTTAATTACCATTAATTGGACGTAATTACCTTATGCAAATCGGGTCAAAATTGTGCCAAGAAAACGGGATATGGTAATTTGTGTGGTGACATTTACTGTTGCGTAAAATCTATACGAGCCGTGATAGAATCACTTGGCTCCGTGATGTTACTCGCAAGATGACGTTTTGCGCACAGATGGACTCAACGCCTGGCCAGTGCACAGACTGGTGCTGGAACAATTATTATCGGCATTTAATAACGCTCACAAAATGCTGGAAAGTCATTTTTTTAACGTGCCAAGCAGCACTCTTTCAAATAAAAATGTAAACCCTATCTCCCGACAAATGAGATCGAGGTTACACTTTAGTCGACAATGTACTTACTTGTTGAAATGCAACTCAAACAGTGCCAAGATGTCGCCTGGTTTTTTGTTGATGTTGTTGCAGAAAAAACATTTCGGATAAAATTAATTCATGCTCAGTTAATTAAATTCAGTGTCCTTCATTTAAGCAGGCGAAGGTCCGTTGAGATTCATGGTATGATTTGTGGTGGACATGCGGATGACATTCCTTACCTAGACAAGGGGGCATTGCATTATTTGGAAGTGCGAGGGGAGCAAAGAGCCATGGGGCGCCCATGTCTTGTTACCAGGGATGGTCCTATTAAATATATCAATTGTGGGGTCATAGCAAATGGCTTGAAGCCCCTGTCAACAGTTGGCCGGGCAGCTGCCCAACCCTACCCTCTCTGCGTTTCGCACTCACTTGCAATGCGAGACCTATATACATTTAACAAATGAGATTTGGCCTTTGATGCTGGAACAAAGGCCCTCCAGTTCCATGCCTCGTGGAAAGTGGCCGCCGGTATAGAGCACTATAAGCGATTTATTCCCCCCGTCCCGCCCCTTCTGACGTATATCTCTCTCTCTCTGAACGACAGGCTACTAAAAAAAAATTCCCACCTCAGGGGGTGTTTTGTGCAGGTGACCATGGGGAGTGCAGGGTGGCTCAGATACAAACGGACAACCTCTGCGCAAAACGCAAACTTTCGTGTTTTTTTTTTTACTTTCAAACACGGATTTTGGAAGAAAATAAATTCGGCCGTTGCTGCGAACGAGGCCAAGAAGACGGGCTGCGTGGCCTCGCAGTGACGCGTACATTTCCGGCAGTTTTAGAGCCATGCTGGATAAATATGCTGTTTTGTCAGGAAGTGTTCCATTCGTTGTGTAACGATGGTCGGGAATTTCTTTATTTTATTTAATGATCCCTTGACTGCCAACCCCTGTGCACCGGCGCTAGCGTCCACAATAATGGATCCGCCTTGGGGTAATTTCTCGTAACGAGAATGAATGGATTTTCTGGGTGACCGCACGGTGCGGGTTTTGCATTATTTGCACGGTCGAAATAATTGTATGTGAGTTGAAATTTTTGTTTACGTTTTTTTGTGTGTAATGCTGCATCAGTGTGACGACTTCAAATTGCACATAGGAAGATGACTATAATTCAATTCTAGATTTGAAGCGTTCGTGCTGTTTTGGCCGGACTTTACCGAGTAAAACCAAAGAGTATAAGGTGACTATAGCTCGGTTCGGTGGGTAGATTTTGGGTCGACGACTGTGTATCAAACAAAATGTCATACGACCCTTTGATAAAAAAAAAAAACATAAATATACGCGTTAGAAGGCGGGGGGTGTGTGACGCAAATTTGCGTGCGGTTATTATACGTGTGCGAACGCACGCGCCCTGGCAAATCTGCTGTGTAACCTCGATGTGTTTCATTTCATACACAGTGTTACAGCGGCACTGTACGACATTAGCATGTTTTTGCTACGGGCGTGTGTTCGTGTATATATGTCCAAAATAAGCACGCGCGCACTTTTAAGTGTTGCATTCAACAATAAGGCCGCCATCCTGATGGTGGTCTCTCGTTGTGTTTGTGCATTTACGAGCTGCTCGTGACACATTCACAGGGATTGTATTGCTCACTGTAATTATATGCGCTTTAATGGCTACAGCATGGTAGAAGCCTATTAGGATAATAAGCAAAGTAAGCATTTGTTGGGTGCAAATAAACAATAGGAGTCAATTTTATAAATGGAATAATTTGACGAATATCCTCATCAACGCTGCCCACAGTTATTAATTTTCTGAGATGAGGGGGATCTTTTTTTTAATGTATGTCCCCTTTGGATGTCATCAGCTGCTCTTGTAATTTACTTATCTCGTTAACTCAACAACAAAAAATAGTGGGGGTGGAATGAATAAAGAAATTAATATAAAACGGCATCGTTCTGCTGGCGATGCAAATGAGTGCAAACTCGCGCTCACTGCCACCCTAGCTAGCCGGGTTTATCGCCCAAACCACAGCCTCCGCTGAGCCGCCCGCGATTAGACGGGAGAGATAATTACCGCTAATTGCCGCGGCTATTAAAACCCGTATAATTTCAGCCTTTCGGTGGTGATACTACTTCGAAATACGTTAACGCTCGATAAAGCTTAAATTGGGATTGCTGTGTTTAAAGAGATACGATGGCCCCGCTCTCTCGCCCCACCCCGGTGGTGTCATTGTGATGACTTGGCCAGAATCAGGTAAAGGAAAGGGGACATGAATGTTTAATGCATAAGGGTTTCAAAAAAAAATCGTGCTCGAAAAATGCAGGGTTCGAAACGGCTTAATTAGGCCAATAAAATCCAACGCACTGTGTAAGTATATTAACACTTTTGAAGTTACAATAAAATTATATTAGGTTATAATTAAATGTAATGGTAAATGCTGGTGTCGGCTTGGAAATAACTCGAGAGGTGCAGCTGGTGCAGCGATCCACCAACCCCCACCCCCGGAGACGAGCGCTGATTTGGGATTCGAATGCCGTGGCGTCGCAAGGGTCACGTGATGGAAATGCTCCTCGCTCTAGCGTCGCTGGCTTTCGCTTAATTTAAAGGTGATTTTGTCAATTCCTTCATCAAACGCCGTGTTGTTTTCCCCACTGGGACAGGGAAATGGGATGATTGCACGGGCCATGCGCGCACCATCCCATTGGGCCGCTTTGCTCGATGTTTTTTGTTCGAGAAACTTTTACTTAAGATGCTTTTTCATTTGTGTTTTTTTTTTAATACTCGCTGGTTGCGCGGGCTTTGACTGGCATCTCAGATTGTTCAAACATTCGGCGGGTGCACTGTGTAATAGCTTCCTCTGAAAACGACACATGAGCTGATGTTTTTTTTTACTTAAGCAGCGGTCGGCTCTTTTGTGAATCTGTTTAAGGTTCCATTCGGCACAGTGTGCGAGTTTTATTTGGAAGTCGTTTATCACGACACGCAAGCACGTTAATGTACACCGCGCCGGTATACATTACCACAATATATTTGCTCCGAATATAGAGCCTGAGACTAAGAGTTATGTTGGAGTGAAATGTAGTTAATGCAGGTGTGACACATCCTATATCAAGAGGCCGGGTATTGCACAGCAAAACAAGCAACAATGTAACAACAAAGCAGCACATTCATGGAGTAAAACTTTTGCTTCTTTTAAAAAAAACAACTTAAAATAAAATATTTGTTTAAATTCTTCATTACTGCCCGTGCCCAGTTGATTAACACGGTGTTGTGAAGTTCACAGACATTGTATGCGGCATATTCAAATGTGAGTGCAAACAAACTTACTGGAGTTACACTTTATCCTGATACAGTCTAGATGGGGGGAGGGCAGGAGGGATGAAAAAAAGATGAAAATTGCATCCTTCAAGGTTACAGCTGCTGGACAACCACAAATCATTAATGCCACCTTCCGGGGACAGACACACGCAACGCTCAATCGACCATTCCACATCGGCTAATAGCAATTTTGTCGATTTGTAATTACTCAAATATTTGTGAGAAATAGTGGACGCATCTGCGGGGCTGCTGCAGGGATGTGTCCGGGCTGCTCGGCCGTAAAAAAAAAAGGTTCCTAGACTCAGCATCCAATTCAAAATTGCTCACTCACATTGGTGCGGTTTCACCAGCAATTAATTCGACGTGAGGATTTGTTCCAGGGATCACTTTTGTTTCATACTTACTCTTAATTTAATAACGCAGACTCTGCAAACGTTTACCGATTGGTAGACGGGTTGCAGGCTTTGCCAGAGCCGTTTTCTGAGGGCCGGATTCGTTGTTTTGGTTGGAACTTTTGGACGCATTGAGCCCGCAGTGCTTTACCGATGCAAAATGGCCGTGTGCACACGACAGCTCCACATGACATCCTGACCCCACTTGAGAAGTCTTCTTCTTCTTTAAAAATGAATAGGTTTGACTCTACGCCAATAGCCAATGGATATAAATGTTTGAATGCGCAAGTTTTTTTTTGCCGAATGTGTGTGTGTATATTATTATTAAGCAGCGCCGTTTTCTGGCGTACTCAACGCATGGCACTTGTCAGGCCTCGGAAGAAGCGTTGACGTTACGCAATGAAATTAAGCAAGATTTTGACGATTAGTCTGAATGCTGATTTTCCACTTTAAATAATAAATCAGGATTCATTTGTTTTGATTTGCTGCAGCTTGTTCGCCGCGACGTTCACAACATATGAGTTTTAATTGCGCGATCGTGCTTAGGCTAAGAGAAAATGGCATACAGCAGGTTAACAATTATCAGACATCTGGCATACATAAGCCAGACAACTAAATTAGAATCGGACGTCACGGGGAAGATTGCAACGTCAGCAAACGCCACGCAGAGGCTTCGGTAATATTGACAAAACACACTGAGGCAGTTCTCCCCCGTTAGTGTCGTCCTGCAGTAGATTTTTCACGTGGGGTCAGGGGGGGGTCATGGCGCTGGGGTTCTCCGTGTGTCGTCAACCGCCGCAGAAAAGTGGGTGTGAAAAGCCAGGTGACGCTCGTTCGCCCAGGGGTGTGGGGTAGCCCGTACGTTTGTGTGTGCGCGCGCTCATGTGCTCGTGGTGCCCGTGCGTGCGTGTGTGTGTGTGTGTAATCGTGCTCGTGTGTGTGCTCTCATGCGTGCGTGGGTTATTGTGCACGTGCGTGTGCACACAGCGAACCGTCGACACTTCACGTGGCCGCGAAGTGCACCCGGCCTGGCACAAATGCTGTGGTGCGTGCTCATGTTTTTGTGCCTGTCTTTGGGTGATTGTGCCCAGTGAGCCTTCGATACTGCGCATGGCCTCAAAGCGCACCTAGAATGTCATAACTATTGTGGTGGTGAATCACCGCCACTTTTCTGATGAATGGCCACTGTTGTTGTTGTTTTTGTATACAGAATAGTGGTTAGCTGTGGCACGATGGTTGATTTAATTGTGCTATGAGCCAGACAACTTGAGTTTTATTTCTAGCCATAGCTAACGTCAGCGTTGAACGATACCCTAACTGATTTTGAGTCTTCCCCTCGGTCAACTCGGCCTTACACAAATATTTGTCCCAACATCCAAAATGAGGAATCTCTTGAAAAAGTGTTGAGACTCACTGAAGCTTCCCTGGATTAACAAAGGGTATTTAAATAATAATAAAAACTCCTACTGTTCTTAAACTGAGAACCTGATGCGATACGTAAACATCAGGCATAGTTCTGGGCCACATCTAACTCGATGGTACATGCCCTGCTTCTATGTATGCATGTATCTTGAACTTCTTTCACACCGTACGTAGCCAACTATGCTAATGGGATGTGCACGGGGAAGGACAACAAACTAAACACAAAAAGCAGTTATAAAGAAATTAGTTTTTCATATAGAGGATTTAAAAGTGCATAGCTCTTTGTAAATGTTGTGGATTTGCTCTCCAACACACCGGTGTGCTGTACTAGTAACGAATTGGCATGTTCTGTTTACGTGACAAACCTTACTAATTGGCTGTGTTGGGTGGTGGCGGGTTTAACGACACGTTTATACAGTTTAACACGGAGGCTTTCGCGACCAATATTATTCATAATAAAGTTTTTTGGGTTAGATCGCGTTATTTATAAATGTGTCGTAACCCTCCACTAGCCGACACGGCCAATCAGCAAAAAAAGTGTCACGTTGACAAAAGACAAATAGTTCACTACTTTAGCCCACCGGTGTGTTGAAGAGTGAATCCACAACATTTACAGTTTGAGTACGACGTTTCGCTGGTAATTACATCCAGCATCATCGGGCAATTCGCCATAATGGTAAAGCCCTCGCTTGCTCCCGATCTTTATTTATAGAGCAGCAGGGTGACGCCATCATTTAACTAATTTCAGGTGCAGTAATTATGTAATCGATTGGTAATCAGTCAATGGTTATGATTAGTAATGAGTTGGAGATTAGTAATTAGTTGTAATGTGTGTTATTGTGATTATATGCTACGTTTATATATTTACGTGATCTAACCCAAAACAACCTGTATTATGGATGATATTGGTCGCGAAAGCCTACGTGTTGAACTAGCGTAGCGGCACCGGCTTCCCCATATCGGAAGGAAGAGCGTTCCATACGGCCGCAGAAGCATATCTGAAAGTGCACGATGCAGTGACCGATGCAGCCCTCGCAGCCTGTTGGGGCTCAATGTGGCATCGCTGCTTTTGTAAGTGGGGGCGATAGAGCACATGGCCTAATGAAGGTCCCACCGGGTGGAGGTGGTTTCCACTACAATGGTTCATTAAATGCAGCCGTCCCGTTGGGACTCTTATTTTGTCAGGGTTCTGCTCTGACCATTTTGACAAGATATTGACTGACTGCTAGTGTTTTGGGAGTGTTCATTTACCCAGTATATATATGTGTGTGTGTCTATTCTCATGTTAGCTTGCACTAGCTCGCCATCCGTGCCCATGAATTAGTCTTGCGCGTGCGTGTCTGTATACGGTCACACGCTAAAATTGAATTGTAAATACACGGGAGGTTTTGTTATTTGTCAACATGGGGCCTTACTCTGTTTCGGTTGGTGGGCTGAGTATTAAATTTATTTTTTTCCAAGACTACGGTTAACAAAGACCTCCAATTGGGCTCGCCAGTCCAATGGCATTCCTTTGTAGCATTTTTTTTCACCTCTTTCGTGCATTCTAGTTCAAGGTTCAGGTTTCTATTTCATTTCCAACCTGAATCATTAAAGGTATTAAGAGGGATTTGTAACAGATAGCACAGTTATTTTCCTCGAAAACCGTCCCCTCGTTTTCAAATATTGTTCACGTTCTGCTTCAAATCCTTTTCCCCCGCGATTTCTCGTCTTAATCTCAACATAAGTTGGTGCGGTGAATTTTCTAGAAAAAAATGCCTCTTTATTGTAAGTCCCTTCAAGACACGTACGCTAATTTCCAACCTCTGGAGATGGGTAAACAATAACAAACGTGTACGTGCACATTGATAACCGGTATAGATGCACGAATCGCAATGTCACCAGCCAAAAGCTAATTTGTTTTCGTTAAAAATGCGAATAGCACATTTAATGGGCAAAATTGTGTCCTTCAAACTGCTTTTTGTGTTTAGTTTGTCCTTCCCCCTGCACCTCCAATTAGCGCGGACGGCTACATAACGGTACGAAAGAGGTTCAGCATAGAGTACATAGGTGAACGAGCTGTCGAGGATGACCACAGTGAGTTCCCAACACACGCACGAAATGAAACAACGAAAGATTTCGGGATTGTTTTCAAAGAAGTGTTTTGGTGAGCGTCAAAATGTACCGCCGTTTTTTTTTAGTTCCGTGTCAAATTGCACAAAGAGTGCCCCCCCCCCCCCCAATCTCCCCCCATAGATATTACCTCAGTGAGGCAGTGTACTTTGAAAAATACCCATCTTGCACTCTTTGGTGCCTTCCGCTACGTGGGAACCCTGTTCAATTGTCCGCCATTATCATCGCTGACTTATGGATGCACGACCTGCACAAGCGGCAGTGAACGACAATGAAAAATGCACGGTTATGAATTCATAATCTTGGGCGCGGATATTATTAAATCATGTTTTTTTTTATTGGGGGAGGGAATAATTTGAAAGAAGTGTGCATTTGTTTGCAGAGTGTGACATTACAAGCCGGCACATGCACACAATAATGAGGGTAAAAAATAAAATTGCAGACGGACAACCCCACGTGCACATTTCTTCGTGAGGAGCGTTGAACAAGAGTGACAGATCATGTCGGCAGACAGAGAGCAGACCAGTTTATCCTGCGCTCGCACACGATAATTCTCCCAAATGCATTCCCTCCCCCATCTCTTCCGCTGCCCCCCCCCCCCCCCCACTACGCCGTGCTACTAATGGAACGGGACGAATGAATCGCAGCAAATGCTTTAACCTCTCATCGCTTTCTGCCTTGCAAAGCAGACTCAATAATTAACCCCCCAAAGACTCCCTCTCCGCATATTTAATCTGGCACGCACACGCGCGCATGTCGATTTGCCCCTTATATAATTTATTGAGCTTTAAAGGAGGTTAAAAGAGGACTGGAAATAATGTCCTGCCTCATACGCACGCTGCGATTTATTTATTCATTTACTTTCATTCACATTTCCAAAAATACGTAATTACGAAAAATGCTGTGAAATTTAATAATGAACGAGCTCATTTAAATTAGTGCTGCATCGTGGTAGAGAAGGATGTCTGTTGTGGGCTCGGCTGCTTTGGTTTCAACTCGTGCCTCCTTAACACGGATCTAAGCGTCTAAACAAAAAACAAATGCAGTATGAATTCTGACCTTTTGCTGCTATTGATTTCCTTCCTACCCACCCTCCTCCCCATTCCTGTCCAATAATCTTCGCTGTGCTATAGAGATCCTTTCAACTTGAATTTTGAATAAATGTGTTTCTGTTCATCAGGATTCCGTGAATTGCTTCACCATATATTTACGTTCGGTCCATCTGCTGGGATAATCCTGCTTTTGACCAGATTTTGTGGGTCATCCAGGATGAATATCTTAATCAAGATTTTTTTCGACATTCACGAGGTATGAGAGCAAAAAAAAAGATAATTCAATGTCAATCAATTTAAACTCACTTTACAGGCCGGTGTAAGTGTGGAAAGGATGAGTGTTTATTTTAAAAAAATAAATCTGAGCTTGACAGTTACGTAAAACTGATTTATACCATTAAATATTTTATTCCTTGGAGGCACAAATGTTTTTTCTCATTTTAATTGTAAGTTACAAAGTCACATTCACCCATTACTTTCTTAATGCTTTTCAACATTCCCAAGATGTGACATGAGAAATATTATTCAGAAGCCCAGCGTGATATACCGAGGCTGTTGTGTTTCAGCTGTTAGCCCTACCATTTAGACAGCAGGTCCATGCCAGAATGTTTGGATTTTTTCCTAACGTAACCTTCCTTTGAATAATGTATGCTCTGTTCGTATTGAAATGTTCAGGCTGTACTCGTGCACTGTTGTGTTTTTTGAGTGTAAAATCAGCAAGGGGATTCATGTATACAGTATATGTAGCAACGAGTGTCTGTGTGTGGATGTTCACGTGTAAAAGTGTTTGTATGTAAGTATCTGCTCTTGCTTAATTTGTGCAATTATACCCCATAGCCAGGTCTGAGGTAGAGCCCTTGAGACACTAACCTTGACGCTAGCACACCTTGACGGTGCTAGCCCAGGTTAGTCCCAAGCAATGCAATTAGTAAGGGGGGTGGGGTGGGGGGGTCTACCTCAGGCCACTGGCTTTAGGAGGGTTAATGAATGTGCACGCTTGATCTAGTCTGGGTTGGAGACTGGTTCAATCCCACCTGTGGCCAATTATGAGACACCGGGCCTTTTGAGGCTTGGTCCCTGTGCACAAGACCTCAGCAAAACTGCCACGGGCTAAGCTGTGGGCGCATGCACTGGGACCACGTCTCTCCGCTGCGGAGGGTCTCGTGTGGGTTGTTACTCGGCTCCCACCCAGGCTAGCTCAGGGCTGGGCGGCAGTCCCATGACTGGGGGTATCACAAAGCGAAATTCACTTGGCTTTTCACACGCTGGTCGCAGGCTTTTAGGGCCTTTGAAGGGAAATTGGAAAACTTAGAGAGAGGGAGGGAGGGAGGGAACCGGGAGAAAGAGGGGAGGGCACGGGGGATGAACTAAAATAAAAACAAGGTTGAAAATAATTGTATAAGTAGATCGATCTTCGAAACTGAAGGAAGAAAACTGCTGGATTCATAGCTGTTAGAGCAACAATCGTTCACAACATTGGAGAAGTTTTAGTTTAATTCAGCAATGTCAAAGGTATTGGTAAAGTCATACAAAGACAAAGGATACATTGCAGCCACCACTGTAAAGAGGTACAGTGAGGTAAAAAAGTATTTGATCCCCTGCTAATTTTGTACGTTTGCCCACTGACAAAGAAATGATCAGTCTATAATTTTAATGGTAGGTTTATTTGAACAGTGAGAAACAGAATAACAACAACAAAATCTGGAAAACGCATGTCAAAAATGTTGTAAATTGATTTGCATTTTAATGAGGGAAATAAGTATTTGACCCCCTCTCAATCAGATTTCTGGCTCCCAAGTGTCTTTTATGCAGGTAACGAGGGAGTGCTCCTAATCTCAGCTTGTTACCTGTATAAAAGACACCTGTCCACAGAAGCAATCAATCAATCCGATTCCAAACTCTCCACCATGGCGAAGACCAAAGAGCTCACCAAGGATGTGAGGGACAAGATTGTAGACCTACACAAGGCTGGAATGGGCTACAAGACCATTGCCAAGCAGCTTGGTGAGAAGGTGACAACAGTTGGTGCGATTATTCGCAAATGGAAGAAACACAAAAGAACTGTCAATCTCCCTCGGCCTGGGGCTCCATGCAAGATCTCACCTCGTGGAGTTGCAATTATCATGAGAACGGTGAGGAAATCAGCCCAGAACTACACGGGAGGATTTTATCAATGATCTCAAGGCAGGTGGGACCATAGTCACCAAGAAAACAATTGGTAACACACTACGCCGTGAAAGACTGAAATCCTGCAGCGCCCGCAAGGTCCCCCTGCTCAAGGAAGCACATATACATGCCCGTCTAAAGTTTGCCAATGAACATCTCAATGATTCAGAGGACAACTGGATGAAAATGTTGTGGTCCTATGAGACCAAAATGGAGCTCTTTGGCATCAACTCAACTCGCCGTGTTTGGAGGAGGAGGAATGCTGCCTATGACCCCAAGAACACCATCCCCACCGTCAAACATGCAGGTGGAAACATTATGCTTTGGGGGTGTTTTTTTCTGCTAAGGGGACAGGACAACTTCACCGCATCAAAGAGACGATGGACGGGGCCATGTACCATCAAATCTTGGGTGCGAACCTCCTTCCCTAAGCCAGGGCATTGAAAATGGGTCGTGGATGGGTATTCCAGCATGACAATGACCCAAAACACACGGCCAAGGCAACAAAGGAGTGGCTCAAGAAGAAGCACATTAAGGTCCTGGAGTGGCCTAGCCAGTTTCCAGACCTTAATCCCATAGAGAATCTGTGGAGGGAGCTGAAGGTTCGAGTTGCCAAACGTCAGCCTCGAAACCTTAATGACTTGGAGAAGATCTGCAAAGAGGAGTGGGACAAAATCCCTCCTGAGATGTGTGCAAACCTGGTGGCCAACTACAAGAAACGTCTGACCTCTGTGATTGCCAACAAGGGTTTTGCCACCAAGAACTAAGTCATGTTTTGCAGAGGGGTCAAATACTTATTTCCCTCATTAAAATGCAAATCAATTTTTAACATTTTTGACATGCGTTTTTCTGGATTTTTGTTGTTGTTATTCTGTCTCTCACTGTTCAAATCAACCTACCATTAAATTACAGACTGATCATTTCTTTGTCAGTGGGCAAACGTACAAAATCAGCAGGGGATCAAATACTTTTTTCCCTCACTGTAAATGGGTTAATACAAAATAACACTTTACAATTTTATATAAAAGTGAAAAAAATGTGCTTTTCAATTTTAAACAATTCCACTAATGCTGGATATTTGTATTAATGTTCAGTGTTTATTTTTAGATTTCTAATTATTTTTCATATAATAGTCTGAAATGTATTTGTGTGAGGTTCATAGATTTCGTTTTATATTGATAATCTCAATCTTCATCGTCATTGTCGTCATTACCACCACCCTTTCGCCATCATTTATTCATCATCATCCTCCTCGTCATCATCAGTCATCATCATCAATCAATAATCGGCTCATTGCTCCCTCCACGCTGCCTGAGGCCAACAACTAATTTTATAATCAGCTTTGCTTTGATCTTAAGAGTTTCAAGGTCATTCACAGCCAAACCTGGTTTGAATCACGATAATAATTTTATATTTTTTGCGTCACTTCCAGTGTTCCAAGCTGAGTATAACGCTCATCTCTCGCGTTCAGAATATAGATCAACACAGCGAGTCCATTTCTATAAATTATCAGCCAAAATGGCATCTGCTCTGACCTATGATGGAGTTTACTGTTGGACTCTGGGCCATTGTCACGTGGCTCATCATCCTGCTCTGCTAAACTGATGAGAAGCTGTCAATTCTGGGTAATAATACGAATATCTCAAGTGGCCCAAAATGAGTCGTCGAATGGTTTGCATTTGCTGCAAGCCCCCTGACGTCTTTGTAGAAGGCGGGGGGGGGGGCAGGGGGAGTCCGAGGGGGACAGGGGGGGGGGGGGGCTCTGCTCTGAGACATCGCCGGCGTAGAGGAGAAAAGAGGGCCGGGGAGGGACGTACCGAGGTTCACGGTGAGCTTGACCTGCCCGGCGTCGAGCTCCAGCCTCAGCGTGTCGGCCGAGTCGCGCGACGTCGTGGCCAGCAGCAGGCCGTAGGCGCGCTGCGACATGAAGCGCAGGGACACGTCCTCCGCCTCCGTGTGCATCACCGTCGGCATCACCACCTTCACGAACATGGAGCCGTCGTAGCTCAGCACCGTCGCCTCTGAGCCGTGAGTACCGAGGACGCGAGCACACGGAGACAAAGACAAAGATATTTCCATATTATAGCCTTGAACAGACTGTTGGGGCAAGTGCTGCTAGGGAGCAACCTATGAAGGCCGGCAGGGCACGTGAGGGGGGTAGGTGGCCAGCACCACGCCCGGCCGCTTTTGTCTCCCCAGTGGCGATGTTTACACATTGCACAGTGCACCAGGTACTCATTTGAGACTGAGTCGACCTAGTAAAGGCCCAGGATCGGTTTTTATAATCGTCATTGGTGTTGGCCGTGAGCACGAATTGAACCCGGATCGCTTGGTTCGTAGCGCAGCGTGCCGGCGGCTGCACTGCACGCACGCACGCAGGCACAGGCGGATATGCACAGACAGACAGACACGGGCAAAAATGTGTTTCAGCTATAGTTGTAACGATATCATTTTTCATGATTACATATTAATTTTCGTGATATGACGATTATGTATGATGGAATTATTGCGAACATGTTGACCTGCCTTAATTACTTTTGGTACAATAAATGAAGGCATGAGCAAAAGGGTGTGCAGAAAGGAACACATGGTCCATTTACACCACCAGTAAATCACGCATAAAGAGAAATTCCAACGCAAGCACACATGCAGCTGTGCAAGATAATGAATGGATCATGCAGGAGTGCCATGATATAGCTTTTTTAACAAAATAATACAATATCAAGTTCAACAGCATGACGATTAATGCGATATCAATTTCCCATATTTTTGTAATTGTATTTCACATTTTTATTTGTGCAGTTTTTTAAATTTTTTGCTGTACTTACACCACGAATAAAATGGCTTAAACGTTCTTAAACTGCAGGTCACTCAAACTCGATCCTGTATAATCATTAGAATCTATATCGCTCATAATGCGCAAGCTGTCAGTTTACACCACCCCTGGACCCAGTGCTGGCCCGTGACTGAGAATGAAACTCGGGGTTGCATCGTTAAAAGCAAAGCGCTCTAACCACTGAGCCGCCACGTCACCCCTACCCCAATCGAATGCTCGGTTTTGTTTTAAAAGGCCTCTTGGGGGGGGGGGGGGTCTCCTAATGCAGTGTGTGGCGAATAATGTTCGTGTCGTGCATAACAAAGAACGGCGGAAAAAACCGGGGTCTTAAGTCTCGTAGAGGTGGGTGCCGTCCTACCAACTACCACGCAAATACGGGACGACGAAAGTGCACGAGCAGTTTTTGTTTTATTTGCCAATACTGACATAGCTGTACCGAATGTGTCACGTAAGCCGGTGTTTTGGATCGTGGCTCTTCTGCATGAGAAAACAAGAGAGCGTAGCTCGTTTGAAATGTTGGATTCGAACTTTTTGGTTGATATGAAGCAACGGCGGAGTCTGTTAATGGAGACGATGTTTTTTCTCCCTCTCCTCCTGCGGCTTCTGCAACTTAATGCCAAAGCAATGTGCCCCGATCTGAACATTTTATTCGAAAACCCTGCAACGCAATTGCAGCAGAGCGGGTTCCTGTTGGACGGCAGGGGGCGCACACGTGCCAAAAGAACGCCCATAAAACCTCGTTAATTCCGCTCCATCACTCGGGGGCCCATTTTAATAATTCATTATGTGGAAGTAAAGTCGATAAATGCCACTTCGAACGTCCAAAACCGTGCTCTAGGTCTCGTAAATCATGCGGCGATATACACACGCTTTAAATCCCAATAATTCCACCGACATTCCGGGGATGTCGCGCAGCAGTCGCGCCAAATTGCGCGACCCGCTTTGCAATGAAGCGTTTTAATTACGAAGCCTGGCTCCGTTACGATTAACTATGAAACGGCTCCAGCTCATTAACGGCCTTTAATTTGTTAACCTTTTCAGTGCTGCTCGCTGCAACAACCACCCTCGGAAATATACAAATTCTGCTTGGCTGTAAGTGTGTGTGGTGTTTTTTTTTATGTGACACTGCGTATTCAATTTGCTTTTTGGAAAAAATTTTTTGGCGCGTTTCACGTAATCCTAAGATTGTGGGAAAGATTGCGGGAATAAAATACATATTTACGAATCACAATTTGATCCACACACAGGCACAATGCGGTAGTAAAACGAACGCTGGGTTCTGAATTGTAAAACGATGTGTGGCACTGATTTATTTATCAGTTTGTCACTTAACGCTCATGTTGCTGATTCATTGCAGATTCAACATAGCATACTGCCCCCCCCCCTCACTAACTTGATTATTTTTTTTATTTCTAAGTTGATCCTCTTCATTTAAATTGTATTTTCGCTGTTTTAGATATTACCCTGATGGATCACAGGCTGCACGTGGTGCCATTGGGTTGGAAGAAGGGGACGAGACATTGAGGCACTTATTTATTTACTGAGAAATTGCCGTGCCCCAGGGAAATATCGCAGCAGCTGGCTGTGTTGGTCTCACTGAAAGGGTATGAAGTGGCATCAAGTTGGACCCGTTACCTGTCCCGATTGCGCACGAACATAACATTCCGACGACACGCATTCTCTGACTTGGCCATTCTCACACGTGTTCCCGACCCATACGTTCACCCTTGAACGTGAATGTTCTCCACTAGTGCTTTGTGAGTGAGTGAGTGTGTTTGTGTATGGAGCGGCGGTGTAGTGGTTAGCACACTGCGCTATGAGCCATTTGGCGTTCCACTCGTGCACATACCGGTGGCGAATATTTGAACCGGCCTTGGGCCTCCCCTAGGTTGTCTAAGCCTCAAATGAGTACCGGTGCAGCGTGTAAACGTTAGCAGTGGGGATACAAAAGTGGCCGGGTGTGAGTGTTGGCCACCTCTCAGCTCCTTGTGTGCTATGCCGGCCTTCATTGGTAATCGTGAAGAGCACTTACCCCAATAGTCTTTTAAAGGCTACACGGGGGATATTTGTCTTTATATATATGTGTGTGTATGCATGCCCTCTTTGGATTACAGAGCTGCTGGGAGCCACACAAATCTACGGGTACGAATTCATGGACACAATTACAGTGTCCCTAGTTAATGTTTGCGAGCACTTATTTCAGGCCACCGTGAAACACGTGAGGCTAGTTGGTTGGTAGGATCACCCTGAGGTCACCTTTACAGCGACAGTTTTGATCGTCCCTATGAGCACACCGTCGCAGCAGTTGCAACGCTGTTTGTTCACTTTAGGCTGAGCTGACCTACGGAAATTCGACGTGAAGTTCTTGTTTCAATTTCCTTCACCCACCGCCAGTTATTCGACCCGGGTCGCTGTGATTTTGTAACATTGTCTGCTCACTCCCGTGATGCCACGCTCAAATATATCAAGACAAAGGTCCCCCATGAAGCCTTCAACAAGCGGTTGGGGCACGTGCTGTTAGCAAGCTCCTATGAAGGCCGGCACGGCACACAAAGGGTGTGGGTGGCTAACACCCACACCCTTTGTCCCTGCAGTGCTGATATTTACACATTCGTACCGGGTACTCATTTAAGGCCGAGTCAAGCTTGGGGATGCTCAGAACTGGTGTATATATATTTAAAAAAAAAATATATATATATACATATATACACTCACGGAACATGTGCACGTTTTTCTGGCTGCAAGTGGATGCTGATTGTTTTCAGCATCGTCGGCTGCATCCGCTGGCCTTCATTTGCCGCTTCCTTCATCTCATAATGATCTGTTGAATTCCTCCTGACTTGAGCACTGCTCGAGTGTCACGGAGCCTTTGTGCCTTTATTGATTTTGCTGCCCCACAAAAGCGGAATATTGCATCTCTCCTGCTTCAAGCTGTATTTACATTTTGGCAAAAAAATCGTAAAAATACAATTTGGCCCAGCTGCTTTAATTGGATCTCTAAATAAACTGGAGCTGCACACGTTGTAGATATTTACTGCAACGGTGCCCGATCAAAATAATATATCGTCGCCGGCGTTGTGCTGCAGTGTGCGATGAGGGTTGGGGGGGGGGGGAACCTCCCGATATTTTCTAACTGCATCTTTGAATTAAAAACTTTAGGGAATGCACAATACTTGCCGGTGCTCTTACAAACGCAGAGGTGTGCAAGCTCACGTTTGTGAGTGGACGCACACAAGAGGGGGGGGGAGGTGGTGGGGGAAATAGCTTTGAGGATTTGTCCTCGGCTTTTAAGATGAGCGCAGGTGGCTTGCAGGACCGAGCGAGGGGTTTGGTTCGTGCGATGGAGGTGCGATTTGTGCTGCCACCCCGCAACAGAAGGGAAGAGTAAAATTAATGAAATTGACGTGCGAGGGAGAGCCGGATCCCTGCAGGCGAAAGCCCTCCTCCTCCCCAACCCGTGTGCCTAACCCTTATTACCATCAAGCTTTAAAGGCACTCGCGTTGACTCCGCAGTGACGGGATTAGTGATGGTGGGGGGGGGGGGTTCTGCTCCACTAGCGATGGAGAGCTGTGGAGTGGCGGGCGGATGAGTCAAGACAAAAATCTGGAGCGAGATCCGGGTCTCTCCAATGGTATTCCTCACACTCCATACTCCTTCCCAACACTCGTGGGCCACCTTTTCGTGTTTAGTGGTCTTGCCTTGAATTTGTTTTTAACTCAAATGAGAAACAACAAAAATGTTATGTAACGCTACATCACTTGCATATAATGCGAAACTATCATGCTGCACCCATCAGATTATTTTAACAAACATGATTAGAGAAAATTGTAATGGACGGTTTGTTAGGTGTCTCTGTCAAAATAACCAAAAAACTTACAAATGTTCAGTGTCACAAATAGGTATTGAAATATTAATTTTCTGCAGTCGAATATGTATTTTTAGAAATTGTATGATTGCATGAACATATGCGAGGTGGTAGGAGATAAATTAAATTAATCATTTTACTGACGAATCCAGTGAAGCCTCAAGAGAAAAGGCTGAGAGAGAAACAAGATGATAATGTGGCGATCTGAAGTTGGTATTGTAACATTATTTTTCGATCTGTGGGGAGAGAAAATGCATGATTTCTCAACTAAGCACATATTTATTCTCCAAATATTGTTTACATAAAAAATACAAATAAT